GGGGGAGGAAGTGTTTTTTTTTTTCCCCCCGGGGTACAATTGGAAAGGGGGGGGGGGGGGGGGGGGTGCCTTCCTCTGTGGCATAAGCCACAGTCCCCTTTCTAGGATCCTCTGACCACATTAACCAATTGCTTCCCTTTCCTTGCAGTGGCAGGGCATTGGTAGTGCCTTCCTCTCCCCAGCTTCTACCTATGGTATGTTGTAGAGTGCTCCTGGTTTTTTTGGTTTGGTGACTTTGTACTTGAGTTTGAGGGTTCAAAGTGGTGATTGGAGGGAATTCTTGGGTCAGTGGTTGCCTGCAAACTCAAGGGACTAGACTCTATGGGCCATGACGTCCCTTCTATGTTACTTCATCCTTGTCCAATTAACCATAAAGCAATAAGAGGTCTATACAGCACATCATCCTGCATAATCCATTGCCAACACCTCTAGCAACAGTAAGAGAATCCTTTTGTAATTAATTGTAAGGATGGAAAAAAATAATAATGCAAAAATGCCTGGAATAAAATTTTCTGCTAAATATACTATGTAATGCTGAAAGAATATTTCATGCAGGCAGCACACATGACGTAGCACATACCTACAAAGTGTTAAACTCTGCTACCGTAGTAAAACTGTCAGCTCTGATTATTTAAAAGGTGACTACCTGCAGGCTTCGCTTTCATTCTGCCTTGTAATTAGTTTGTCCCACATGCCTGATCTGACTGGCTAGTCCTCCACTGCATTGTATGCCTATTGCACTTGGCTCCTGCTCATGATTCATCAGCCACACAGAGACAAAAGTTTGGCTTCCCTTTACCAGATAGTGATTTATTCCTGATGGCATCTCTCTGCTGTCAGATAAAATTCATGTGGGTTTCCTTCATCAAAGCAGAGATCATGCCATAAACATCAACTTGTGCCACAGCCAATATAAAGGATCATTGTTGCAATAAAAGATGAGTATTGCACAAATGCCCCAGCTGAGTTTGCCACACTAATGGATTTGCATTTTGGGGGCCACAGGTTTTTAACCCTGTCTGTTCTTTCCCTCCCTCTCCTCCTTTCTTAAAGATTTCCCTATACTCTGTTGTGGGGCCTGATTCTGCGAGGTGCTGCGGAGTCTGTCTATTATTCATTCTCTGGATCGCTGGGAATACTATGTGGCAAATATCTAACTTGCAATGAAACGATGCATCTCACTTTCACAGCATGATGCCAAGTGGGAATGAAGACTCTGTATGTATCCCACAAACAAGAGTATCCATGAAATAAAGTGGGACAGACCCTGAACCCAGTGAGCTGGTGCAAAATTTTGTTCACTTCAACTGAGTTCTGCCAGATTTAGGCTGAAGAAACTCAGTTCAGAATCCATGAACTTGTAATGCGTACCTGAAGGGTTTTTAAATTTAAAGGGCTTTTTGCTCATTTATTTGTTTTTACCAAGACTCCTTTACTCTAAACTGTGTATTAGTGTATTAAATGAGACATTGGCCTCGTTATCTTTTATCCTCTTGATCCTTCAACAACCTGGAGATTCATTAGTCTAATGTAGCCAGTAAAAAAAAAAAAAAATCCATCATGTTTTAATGTTTCACAGCAATTAAAATATTTAATACTACACAAATTTGCCATAGTCTTCAGTGAAGGTCACAATGGCATATTCCATTATTGTTCTGCATTAGACTCAGAAACACAATAATTTATACATATAAAGAACCCTTTCCAGAAGGATCTCTAAGTATCGTATGGTGTAAATGGAGACACAGAGAGATTAAGCAATACGTCCAAGGTCAAACAGCAAATAAGTGGCAGAGTCCAGAATCAACCCCAGATCTGCAAAATAACTTCTTAAGCTCTGTTCTAACTACTAAATTGTCCTGTTTTTTGCAGGCCTGCAGTAAAGGTCGGTTCGGAGGAGAGAATTTTTCTATTTGGATTAATCAACTGTATTGAGAGAGTGCATGTGTGTGTGAGCACCCTTGGGCACGTTTGTCTCAGTCCCATCCCTATCCACCCTAAACGTTTACTGAGTCCTGTGTGTCACAGGAGAATAAATGCCTGAGCCATTATCTGCCCATTCCAAGAGTTCAGAGAATTTGCATGACATCATGGGCATGACCCCCTCACTAATCACATTATATGCTGTTTAACTTAACACTGCTAAGCTTTGTCTGATAACATTGTAAATACCATTTTATTGTAAATTAGATTATTCAAACCTCCTCAGCGTTTAGGTCAGTTCTTGTGTGAGGTCCTTGCTCCCCCTCCCCATCAACCCCAAATTGAATCTTTTGCTGTCTGAGCCAGGGTATTTCTTCAGAAGGAAGCACAAAAAGAAAAGAAGGCTGAGCTATTATCTGCTTCTAACTCAGCACTGCTGATTGCAGTAAGTGGACAGAAGACTCTGTGCATCTGTTCTTTTTCTCTTTCTTTCCTTGGAATAAAATCAATAGGTTTTGTTTTCTCTCTTGAAGCTGGCTGGGTTTCATTACACTCTTCCTGTGAGGTAGTGTATACTTGAGACCTATGATTTTCTTGTACCAAACCTAGTCCTAGCCGTTTCAGTTCGACATCACTTTGCCCTTATCCGGCCTGTCCTTCAGGCTTCTCATTTATTTACAAAGTAATGTGTCAACTTACCAGTATTTTTTTTTTTTTTTGCATTTGCTTTTGTTTTCTAGAACCAAAGGAACTGGCGCAGACTAAGATAAACCACTGTTGTAACATCAGTCACGAATTACAACAAATCACTGCATAATGTCTAAAGCACATTGATGTTTCCAAATGTCTGGAAAAGGGGAGGGGGTTACTTTCACTTTCAAATGTTGGTACTTTTATTTCAGAAGCAGATATAATAGGAGGTTTCTAACCTACAGAAGTCCAACAAAAGGATTTTTCATCATTTTTTTTTTTTTTAGATGACAGGTCTCAGAAGATGCTTTTCTCCCTCCTTCTCTTATCTTATTGAAATGCATCACAAATGCTGTGGTTAAAACAGTGGAGCAGAAGTCAAGACTTCTGGAGTCAAGACTTAGCTCTGCTACTGACTCTGTGAATCCATCGTGGGCAGTCATCTCTAGGGTTTCTACTCAGATGTTGTCTCTCCCATGCACACACATAAAACCTTTCTGCCTTGTGTGGTGCCTTCAGACCAGGTTATCTAGCTTACCTGGGCCAACAGGCTAAAACTTGAGTGAGTCTTTCACACAGACTGGTCACTACAGGGTAAATTTCTGGAGTGCAGGTAACTCTCCAATGCCTTCCCACAATTCTCTCTGTATGCACACAAGGAGAGACACAATTCTCTGGGAAGAATGTAAACAGCTCAACTTATTCTGAGCACAAAGACCATAGGCATGGCCCTAGAAAACCTTGCAACACACCCAAATGAATGTAGCCCAAGCATGGAAGAACTCAGGTGTAGTTTTGCAATACCAGGACTGCACCCACCAGGGCTAAGGTAACAGGCCTCAGCGCTGATCACCTTGCATGAAAAACATACACTACGGGTGCATGTACACATGAGGCTATGTCACCGTAGCATCAATAGGCAAAAACCATGACGTTGCAGCTCCATAGCCGTAGCAATGCACTCTTTCATTATAGCACACTGCAACGGCAATGTAGCAGCTAAAAATAACCATGCATAGCTGGCACGGTCCAGTATGGGCTGTTACTGCATCATCATTTAGTACAGGGGTCAGCAACCCTTGGCACGTGTGCTGAGCATGGCATGCAAGGCCATTTTGCTCGGCACACCACCACCAGCCCGGGCTCTAAACAGCTGCTGCCAGCCATGGAGCCCAGGCTGCTCCCAGCAGGCGGCTGGGAGGCTGCAAGTCCTGCTGCAAGCAGACTGGGCTCTGCGGGCCGGCTGCAGCCAAGAGGCTGCAAACAGCTGCTCCAGGCTCCAGCATGTCGGCACTCTGGCACTTTCCAGGGTAGACATTGTGGGTTTTCTGGCACTCCAGCCAAAAAATGTTGCCTACCCCTGATTTAGTACTTCCAAAAGAAAATACTAAATGATGGCAGAGTAACAATGGGTGGCACCATACAGCCATGTGTAGACATGCCCTATGTGTTGTTGGCAAGTCACTGTCTGCCTCTACTCTTGTATTTTTCCCATCTGCAGAAAGAAGACTGTACCATATTTACTTGAATATGCATTGATGTTTTTCCTCACCCAGTCAGCATGGGGAAAATAGCCCCTTGTCTTCTATTCACATATAAGAAAACCTCACTAAATATATTGTCCACCATTCAACTGTTGCCAAAAGCAACATGTGCTCAGTAAGGGACTATGAAGTTGATTAAATGCAGCCAAAACTGAGCATGATTATAAAACACAAGACCCATACTGGGCAAACATAGTGATAGGAACCTACTTTTTTTTTCTGAAAAAAGATATACTTCTATATACATAGCGATAGATAGATAGACAGATAGATAGATAGATGTGTGTATATATATAAATATATAGTTATAGTTACACACACACACTCGCCATCTAGCAAGAATTTTTCTTCACATACCTTAACCCACCTTCAAAACTCCCACACCCATTACAATAAACACACACACACACAAACCCACACACCCATCCGTAGTTCTTTCCCTAGTTCAATCACACTGTCATTTAGTCCTAGCACCAATTTTATGGTTTATACTCTCAGTTCATTCATTGTCATCATCACTGTTGCTGCTGCTTCCACTGCTGTTGTCACTCCAGGTCTGGTTGTATTAGTGTCCTTTTTGCTATCACTGTCCACTCCCCCTCTAGGGGGGTCTTTGAAGAGCCTGTGCCAAGTGTCCCTTTGCCAGGTGGAATTGGCTGCATCTTTTCTATCCTTTGCCACCGGTTTCTGGGAGTAGGACTGGAGTTCACTCAGAAACATTTTAACACAGTCTGTTTCCTCAAGGTTTGTGTGCCTGTATATCAGGAGGTTCCTAGACTTCCACAGTGTGCCCCTGACACAGGACACAAACTGGTTGAAGTGGGTTGTTGAGGTCGCCTAATGTTTAGTCAGGTGTCCATACAGCGCTGCCTCCCTTGTCATCAGCCTGATCCCTGTCACCTCTTCACAGAACTAGTTTACCTTTTTCCACACCCCCTTGATGTATGGGCAGAGCCAGAGGAGGTGGTTGATAGTCTCTGTTGTGCCTTGGCAGATTTCCCTGGGGCAGCTGGGTTGAGTCCCTTTTGCCTCTCTGTGTCTCCATGCCCTCCCTGGGAGTGCGTGGTGGGCTACTAGCCAATTCAAGT